GGAAGGCAAGGATATTCAATTTACTTATGCACCCCAGAAGAAGAGATAGAAAACATATTTGAATGAGACATCAGCTATTTCTTCTCTATCTGCCATCTTATAATACAAGACAGGTAGCTGATATAAGTATAAACCAGCCTAAATATGGGAAAATGGGGTTTAATTTAAACAGTGGACATCTGGAAAGGCCTGTGGGAGAGGTTAGAATGAGTAGATTTGAAGGCTAAGGTAAGATCTATAGAAAGAAATTTGAACAAGTGTAACTGAAATTACTGCTCAGAGAGATGAGATCTGAAGTGAGAAGGGAGTTAGAATGTGAGGAAAATGTGTGTGTATGTGGTGGTCTATGTGGATATATCTCAGAACTAAGTGGAAATTATTTTAATAATCTCTTTCTCCTAATTTTCTTAAATTCCTTCTATAAATAATTAAATGACAAACAGAATTATCCGTTCCACCGTGAGTATCTCAGTCCCTAATGTGAAGATATGAAATAATTAGAGGGTATGCTGTGTAAGGCTTTTAATGTCATGGAAAACTTCTATTTTCAAGACTGTGCTAATTATACAGGATGAGGCCGAACAAAGGGAAGATGTACAATTAACAGAGCTCAGCTTATTACAACCAGCTCTGTTTAGAGGATCTTCTGAACCTAGATGTGTAGTAAATCAATCATTAGTCTAGAATTTACCTTTTAGAGGAAAGCTCTGGAGATTACAGAAATGTAGCATTTGATCATTTTGGACTTGACAATGGTGATGGTGTAGTAAAACTGGTAAACTGGAAAGAGTAGGGTTTTAAAGGGATAAGACTTCTGACCCTTACTAGGTCTGCTACTGACTGGCTGGGTATAATCTCTCAAGCTCCTTCCTCTGCTGCAGACCCACCTCTATGAAAGAGAGGGGAGCACCTCTTTCATGGGAACTATTTTCTCCATTTCAGCTGCCTTGGATGATAAATTCCAGCATGCCAAAACCTGGACTTCCTGAGTTGGGCAGTTACTGGGAATGAGGGGTGGGGCTGGGCAGTCAGGTGGAGCTCTATAACATGGAAGGCAGGCAGGCAGTTTTAATTTACAGCCAGGGTCTTGAGGAGACATGTGAAGAGGAATCATGGAGAGATACTCAGATGAAACACAGAGACACACAGATTCAAGGTATGTGGGAGGCTGTTCCCAGTCCTTGGCAGAGACAAGGGAATATTTTGACCTCATTGTAGTTTATGTGTTTTATTTTGAATTTGGATTCTCTCCTTAAGTCCCAGCTCTATGGGATCTACCTAACCCCTTTCTAGTGATTCCTCGCCAGAAGACACCTTATAAATGTGGCAAAGTTTTGGGCCATAGAGCCCTGCGTTAGGGCTGACACTGTTTGGCTAGGCATTTGCCCATAAGGGGAAGGTAAAAATGAGAGTTTCATTGCCAAACTATCACTAGTAATATCCTTTTTTTCTCTCCTTTCTATACACACTATAAAGCATCTTTCATATTTTGCCTTCTGGTGCATGGATGGTCTAATCCCTTTGGGAGCATGCACCCCTTAATAGTTTGTGGTCTCTGGCTACCCACTGGTCACACATTAACACCTGTAGAGGGATAATAGCATATATTAAGGTGTTAATATGCCAAGACCCACGTCTACCACATAAACACAGAGCATTCTCTTAGTGTCAAAGAATTTTAATATGATTAGTGTGTATAGAGAGGAAAAGAAAGGTTGTTTTACAATCACCCAAAGTTATCCATCCCCTCATGGGTAAATGCTCAGCCAAACAGGGTTGGCCAAAAGTGGGGTCACTGAGGCCCAAAAGTTTAAAATACCATCTGGAAGGAAACCACAGGAAGGGGGCAAATGGAATCAGGTAAATCAGAGTAACAAAGCAAAATCAAAGTACAAGTTAATGGCTGCCATTGTTGGCCTCTCCATGAGTCTCTCACCCACATTTCCTTCAAGTGCCTCTACAGGTCTAAACTCCATGTATCTCCTTCCATGTCCTCCAAAATCCTTGTGCAAGTCCAAAGCTGAGAAGCAAGCTGGCCTTCTTCAGATGCTCTTTGTTCCACGTGCTTCCTCCAGGTCTTCTCCCTGCTCAGCTCTACAGTTCATTAGATTGGGGGCGGGGGAGGGGGTATGGGATCTTCCCTTTCTATGGAGAATATATGCTATAATAAAGGCACCTGGTACTGAAGCTAGATTACAGTAAGAACCCAATTTTTATTTTTGATCTAGTTTCATCCCCTTCTCCTTCTTTCTTTTTTTAAGCAGGATTTAATTCAACTCAATAGAAATCCTTAAGACTTTAAGAACTATACAGGAATGACTTATATCTGATGGATGTACTTCCTCTAAGTCTACCAAACTTCAATAAAAGCAGTTATAATATCAGTGGCTCTATCTTCTGGGTGTCAAGGATAAAGAAATACCTTAGTTGTCAAATCTCAAGAGGGCTGACTCAGCTCTTCTTTTCTATCAAAGAATATAAACTGCATTTCCTATAATTTGCTTTTTACTAGTGGCTCTTGTTTTCAAAGAAAAACTTAAGTGCAAAAGACAATCTCTCCTACATTTATGCTAAAGGGGTTCTAATAAATCCCACACAACTAAGCCCTCCCCCCCATAGTCTTTTCCCTAGATTTTATAGCCAGAATATTTAAAATATTAGAAGTTGGTACTATAGAAAACTGCATATTATAATTGTGAAATGCAGTGGACATCCTATCCAAATCTCAGATCAATGGCCTATAAACCAAGTGAATTTCAGCACTAACTGAAAGGACAGAGACCCTCAGCTCTTCACAAGGCATTAGGATTGCATTACTGCATCAGTGGCACACAAAGTTCTTGATAAAAATGTTGATAATCCAGAAGCAAGAAATAACATATGAGAGTTTGATTTGTATAAACAAATCAAATCAAAGCTATTTAGAATCAAGCTACTTAATCTATTTTAAAGCATTGCCAGGAATACAAATATCCAAACAACCTTGCAGCCAGAACAGGTAAAAGTGAGAGAATAGAAGGAACTCTAAAGATTGTAATTTATTTTCCTGATTTACTATAATCCAGCTATTTGACCAAATTTTGATGCTGAAACCAGTCAACACAGGCTCTTGTCTACAGTCCTTCTGCCTCCTTATAGAAACTTTTTACAATAGTCAGAATTGTCTCAGTTAAGCAACATGAGTAAATAGCTTCCATATCTCAGTGGTTTAAGACAATGAAAGTCTGTTATTTCTATTGCTACATGTCCAGTGTGGATTAGCTGAGAGGACTCTGTCCTAAAAAATCATATAAATTCCAAGCTAAGGGATCAACACATAACCAGTGTTGATCCCATAACCAGTCAATGTTACAAGGAACACATAACCAGTCATTGTTACAAGGAAAGAGAGCTAGAGCAACAACAATTAGATGCTCTAGTGTGGCAGTGAACAAATCATTTGTATGCACAACTCATTGGCAGGATCGAATCCCATGCCCTCATGGAACCTTAAGATAAGCAGGCAATTTAGTCCTATAAGATGTTCCACAAGTGATGAGAATGGGAACAATTCTCGATTCTCACATCTTTCCTGATCCCCCTCTAGAATAGGCTCCAGCTGTTAACGCCACATCCTATCACAATTTGTAAGTGGATTATTTTTTGAGTTATTTTTAGTCTGTTTCCACTATTGGACTAATAAGTCTTAGAGAACAAAGGTCATGTTAGCAGGCTAATTCCATGAAACAGTTATTAGAAATGGTCATCTGCCTAATATATTTAAATCCTGAATACATTAGACTTGAGTTTGTGGGAACCTATGGCAATCAGGGCACATGGCACTCTGGATCCTTCTGCCTGTCTGCTGATGCCTCCCTCATTGCTCATAAGTGGACCCTCTCTTTATGTGATGGCCAAGGCTAGGACAAAGGCACAATGGGTAACCCTTTAAGCTAGTGTTATGAAGTGAACTGTAAAACTATTAACTAAAATCTCACAGAAAATGCCAAAGATACTGAAAAAAAAAAAAAAAAAAACCTAGTGCAAATTGCTGTAAACGTTGTAAATAATGAAAACAAGAAAAGAACTTGGTGAACCAGTCTTTTGTTGAATTTACTTTTGGCAAATTAGTTTGCAGACAATCACTCAGATACCCCTTGTCCTCCTTTATCAGTTGTACTAAGTTATCAAGCATAGTCTGGTATTTCCAAGGCACGCTGAAATAAATAACAGTCCATTGCATGGATAAGGGAAGTGTGGTGTAGAGAGACAAGTTATTGGCCCAAATTACAGAGTGATGATGGGGAGATAAAAGGTCTGTTTTAAATTTCCTCTTATTATTGCATATATTTTTTGAGTCATATTCTAGAAAGAGTGCGGTTATTTTTAGAAGTTTAGTACACTGCTTAGGGCAAAATATTAGTGTGTGTAAAGGGATATTCTTTCTGTTCCAATTTTTATTACCTTAAGTAAAAACATTTTAATTGTTATTTATTTCAGTTCCATTTTATGATTATTCCATCATTTTCTATACAAAATACTATTATTTCCAGTGAAATAAGAAATAATTGAAGTACAATTGCCTGTGGGACAAGGTTATTTCAGCAAAGAAGATTCAAGAATCAATTAGCTGTGGCCTTAGAGAAATGGATTTTTAAATAGGCATGGCCTCAGGTCACCGAGGGATATCTTTAGTTTCACAATATTTCATTTCCAAAGAGGCCAATACTAAAATCAGTCAAAGGTTTCAGACACACTTGTAAATATGATTTTTTTTTTTAAAAAGGGATTTTTTTTTAGCTATTAATTTTTTTTCTCTGTATCATTCAGAAATAAGGCTTTAATGATAGGAAATTTTATATACTAAAACAACTAAACATTAATAAAACAAAAACCTAACTTTTTAAAACTCCACTCAAGTAGACTCATTAGCATAGATGCTCATTTCTGATTTCACATATCTGCTGTTTTTATTTCCCCCCACAGTGAAGGACTACCTGAACAGTGTATGCTTCTCCTACCTGTTGGGCCACGCAGGAAACAAAAGATGATTTCAGTGTGATGAAGAGATTTTCAGTGGCTCATGCCAGGAGGTGCTGCTGCTTAGCAAACTGCAGAATCCTAAGAGGGCATCAGAAAGAGAGAAAACTTTAGGAATAATAAAACCTTATCAGGGTCTTAGAAATGAAGACTGAATTCTGTTACTTAACAAATAGACTTGTATTTAGGCTTTAGATACAATGCATAGTACGGCCAGTGGGTGAGCACTGAATTGAAGTTGATCAAACAAAACAAAGAATAAATAAATGACCACCAGGAGGACTGACAAGCTCCCAGGATTATGAACCCAAATGCCTACAGGTCAGATTTATAAAGTAGCATTGGAGGAGAAAGAGGGCTTATATGATGAGGGAAACTAGACTGTTGCGCTGATGGTTTCCACTGATGCCTTAAAGGAAAAACAGGCTCTGTAATGCCTCAACTGTAGACTTTGAGGGAAGACAGAAATACAGAATGTATTATATACAATTAAAATAAGATGAAAAATATCAGTCACTGTTTTTTTCAGTCTGATTTCTAATGTGTGATTTCAGTATTTAAGTTAGAGGCATCACAACTTTCCAGAATATAAAATGCAACCACGTTCAAATGTTGGTTTTAGCATGCAAAACGATATTTCAAAGTCAAATAGAAATGAATCTGTTCATTATCTACTCTTTTGGATAATTGCCATTATCGTTATTTCTCCTTGGATGGATAATTGAAAACTGACTATATAAATTGTTGCATTTTTCTGGGGAAATAAGCCTACACTCAAAATTTGTCACCCACATTTTAATCTGTTACAATTTTACCAGACCTAAAAATTACAGCTACTCTAGTATATTATTCTGTTACATTTCATAAATAACTCCTCTTTTGTCTGGCTTCATGTGGAAAGAGGAATATTACCAGTGCAACAGATGTCTAAGGAACCCATTTTTTTTCTGTCCATATATACCAGAATTAGCTATGAAGTAGTTTAGTAACAGAATAGGACAAATTAGATAGTAGTAAGATTGGATACGAGATTTAGTTTCCCCACTTCTGCTACAGCATTCTTTTCAGTAACAAAGGAATTTGCACCTTAAGTCACTCATCTGGCTACATATGATTCTGTCTGGTGACCAAGGGCTTAAAGTCTCACAGAAAACAAACAAACAAACAAACAAACAAACAAACAAACAAACAAACAAACAAAAAACAAGCACAGGTAAGTTACTTTCCCAATTATTAACTTATCAAGGTAAATTCTGTGAGTCATTGGCTTTCCACTCCTAAGGGATACAGGTCAAATGTCACACACAAGGATGTCTCATTCTATTTTTCTGATCCCAACTTTGTTCAGTGTGATTAAAAAAAAAAGCTGATTGGAAGAAATTTGTTTCCCCTAGATATGATTTCAACAATGTACTGGCTCTTCTTTCACATTCTCAGCTTCTAAGTTCATGCCATGTTTTGAGGCTATTAAGCACGCTGGCCCTAAGAACTCCAGCCAGGGACTGTGTTCAAGATCTCCCTTTTCCCAGAAGGTGAGAAGGAGGGAAGAGTTTGCATTAATCTCTGAGATCCTTCTCTGATCATTGTCTGTAAAGTCTTTTCTCCTAGGGAATGAGGCAAACTTTTCTACTGCCAGAGCTTATAATGAGAACATATCTTCTGATAAAGATATGCCTGAGGTTTAGAAATATTGAGCATTATCACAAAGATGACAGAGCTTTCCAGCTTTGTCCTGAAAGGATCTTCCAACAATTAACCACACTACTGAGAGTGCTGAGGTTTGGATGAAAACTGGAACACCCCTCAAATATGAGAGGCAAACGCAGACCTCACAGCGGTGACACAAAGGAGTGGCACTTCACTGAACAAGAGGTGGGTGGGGAGAAACTGAGACTGGGAGAAGGGGACACAGATGGGCTGCTGGCTGAGCCAGGGGACCTAGAGAGGAGTGAGTGAAAGCATGGAGGTCACACCTCTGACTGAGGGCAAACACATGTGAAGGATTTAGGGTGCTACCTACAGGCTCTGTCCCCCGAACAAGAGTAACAGTACTGTTGAAGGGCATGCCCTCTTCCCTGTACCCCACACTTCCCACCCCCACACTACCCCGTCTCCCACACTCCTTACACTTCACTCCCATCCCTCCCTCCCAAGAGGTTCCTCCTCCATTCCCCCACCCAGCCTTTCCCCATCCCTATGCCCTCTTACCTCTACATGTGGATCCTCCCCAACCAGGTAGCTCCTCCCCTACTTCTCCATTCTGCCTCTTCCCACTGCCTCCAGACCTCTCCGTCTCCAGGACAGATTTTTTTTTTTAAAGATTTATTTGTGCATACAGAACTGGGGTACAGGCCAGAGGCTCAGGGGCGGTGAGAGGCTTCACCAGAGACAGAGTGGGGAACAGAACAGGCAGATCAACCAAGTACACTGCTGAGGGGAGCAGCGGGTGGGCCAGGAGAGGTCTGCCGCGCCATGTAGTCACTTCCGGGGCAGGCAGGAATTGAACTCATGTGGAAGTGGCTTTAGATTCTCAGTGCTGTGCTTCAACCCGCTGCGCCACCAGGGAGGGCCACCAGGACAGATTTTGACCTCTTAAAGTGCTCAGGGAATATAGAGATTAAAGAGTCTCAGCTCTGGAACCCCAGAAAGGAGTCAAAAGTGGAATGCAACAAATTCCACTCCGCAGCACATTCACACCAGTGGCTACGCCTCCGAGGCGCTTACACAGTAACTGTAAAATAGGTCTCACTGCCTGTGGAAACTAGCGAAAGTCAAAAAGCTAAAATCAAATTAACCTAAAAGTAAGCGCCCCCTGCAGGAAAAGCAAAAGTAGTTCAACACTTTATGTTAGAGCTACCTACTTAACAAATGAAACAAACTGGGAATGTGAAGGAGGAAAATGGGCAGGTTAAAAAAAATAAACAAAACACGTGATACTTTGCAACCCAAAGATAAATATTACATTACAACATTACAATATTACATTACTTAACACTGGTACTTGTAAATGGAACGGGGTCAGTCTCACTCAATATCTTACTTGCAGATGGCATGACGATAGTACCACGTTTTGATTCTTAATTACTTTCCTATCCATTGTTTCATTCAATAAAATTGCGTTGTTTCCTATAATGTGTTTTTGTACTGGAAAGAGGAATTCACATCCTTTTAAAAAGGATATTTAGTAATGCAGTTACAGAGATTCTGAAATGCAGAGGAAACATCCTGAATTCCCTCTCTGTGTGTATGTGCGTAGTGTGTGTTTCTAAGCACATTTCACATGCATTTCTCTTGAAAGAGGCATTCAGAAAAGTTGATAATTAAGAGCAATAGCTTCTACTTGCTCTAACTGTAAAATAGGGAAGCAGCTGATATTTTTGTTCATCAAAGAGAGGATATTGTGAGAATAAGAGAATAGCATGGAACCTAAAAATTAATCTGCTCTATTTTTCCTAATTTTAAGATCGAAATATATCTAAGCTAAGTCTTTTAATAGTTCAACATGATTTTTATTTTCCTTTTATGTGCCAGGTCCTGTAGACTTAAAAAGAAAATTTAAGTTATTTTAAAGTCTTAGTACACAAAAATTCCAAGTATTTGATATACCATGATTCTTTTAAAAGTTTGACATGATTCATACTTCTCAGAAATAAAAGTACTTTAAGTGTATCTTATAAAATTTTAGTCTCTATAAATGAGTCATTCAAAAATGATTTGTGCAGAACCTAAAATTTACCTTCATAATAATCGAACACAGTACAATGGAATAGATTCTGCTTGTGTATAACAAAGTTTTTAGCTATATCTTAGGTCTCGATTGGGGACAGAAACTGGTTCTGAAAATTAAAACCATTCCAGGGTATATGAACAAAGAGATTTTGTAAAGCTTGCACACTGACTGAGTCATCCACTGCCTAACTGGATTTTTCAGGTCATGTTCAGCATATCTTGCAAGCATAGCTATAATAAATCATGCCATGTAAGCTCATAGAACTTGAACATGGCATCTGAGTTAGCTCAAATAAGAGTTGAGTTGGATCCATTATTTGTAGGCAGTTGCTTTGCATTTTTCCTTCTGTTACTTATAGGCATTTTATTCTAGATCTTACTCTAGGTATTTTACTCTAGTCAAGTTAGAAATGGATGTGGATTCTGTCAATAGAGGCAATGGATGAGAAAATAACCCCGTGGCTATTCAAATAATCATTCCTACCCAAAAACAGCAAAATAAAATTAACAGCCCAAGTATAATCCCTACCAACAGCTAAACCAGCAATACTATCTATTAATTCAAAAGGTAGCATTTTACTATGAATTGTGCCTATAACATGACCCTCCTTCTGACTTAATAGGTTGCCTGCCACACCCAGGTGTATTTGGTGAAGATTCCAGAAGCTGTATTGACCAAAGAGTCATGGCAGAGAACATGAAGCAGATCCTGCAGAGGTTAGGTGGTATGGCCTTACATAAAATTCCTACTTTGGCCTTCCTAGTAATGTTACATAGAGATTTCTTTATTTCAAATTAACAGGAGTTACTAAACTAGCAAGGCAAGCAAAAGGCCCATTATGAGAGCAGTACACCTTCTGAAACATAATGCTCTTTTCTCAACCTAAGTTTGTACTGATGACCACTTAAATGTGAAAAGAAAATGCACATGTTACCAAATGGGGCACATTCCTCAGCAGATCTTCCAAAGTTATGAGGAGTTAAATCCACCACTATGAAAGTGTTTTCTATACCTTGGCTGAGTAAGTGACAGAAATCAATTTAGATATGTCATGAGTAAACAGGGGAATGGAGAGAGAACTCACCAAAATGGTTACAAAAGAGGCTGCTTGTTTTACTTCTGAGAGGAAATATTTACATATAGCCAGAGGGATTCTAAACCCAATGCCTCAGAAGACAAAACCACAGCTAACATCATACTCAATGGTGGAAATCTGAAAACTTTTCCTCTAAGGTAAGGCTACAAGACAAGGCTGTCGACTCTCACCACTACTATTCAACATGGTACTATAAATTCTAGCTGGAGGGATCAGCAAGAGAAAGAGATAAAAATATTCTAAACTTGGAAATCA